ACGCCACTTTTACTCGTTTGGAAAATAAAGTTTGGTTTGAAAATTCAGCCGAATGCGCGGGGAAATTATCGGATTCTTTATCATAAAACAAATAAAGACTTCGTCTCGTGTTTTCCCCTACACTTCTTTCGTGCTCTACCGCTTCCTGCGTGCTTTACAACAGAACAGAGCACAGTCGAGGCTTCTTTATTTGTTAAATATTACCAGAGCGAATTCCGCGAATCAAATTTTACAAGAGATCCCCATTTATTTTGTAGATTGTTTCGTGCGCGATATGCTCTATGGAAGGGTGAATTACAACACTTTTCTTCTTTCAAAGTCTGGTGGTCCTACCAGGACTCCACTGACAAGGAAATTTCCCTCGCAAACAGTTCTTACCATGATTGTATGGAAGCCTGGCTCCACTCTTGTTTGAATACTATCCAACCGATTCTGTCCATACATGGATTTTGTATTAATGTAAATAGCTTCTTTGTCATTGTTATCCAGCCATACCTTGGCCTTTCCGCCGCTACCGGAAGTCCTGGTTAATAGAATCACGGAGCGTGTGTTGGGAGAAGAGTTAATCGGGGAAACGTAAATGCGCAGTTTTAAACTGCTGTATATCTGCCACGTACCCCATCCCCCTTGCGCGTCTGTGCGTAAGTTTGAATTTTTACCTTTATCAGACGCATTTTGATCGCGAAAACTTCCAGATGGTGAGAATCCTTCGTTTTCCTCGATTTTAATTTGAAGATTCGGGCGATGGAGGTCTTGGAAAATGTCCGGAGTAACTCCAGTCCAACACAACGGTTGCTTCAGAGCTTCGGTTTCGCGTCGAAGGAAGAAAGGTTCTGGTATAGGGGAATAATCAATTACACTGTACACCTTACTATCACCAAACGTGTTTTTGGCCTCTTCTACAGCCTCCTTGAGCACGCCGCGTATGTACTCTATCATCATCATGGCGACCATCGCATGCGCTTTAATGCCAATATGGCGACCGTCTGATGCGGCCTCATCGGTGATGACTGCCCTCCATTGATCGTTTTCCTTGCGACAGAGTACTTCCTTCAAACTGAAGGACGTTATATCATAATGGCGTGTTAGCTCGGCTTGTCCAAAATTTTCCAAGTTAATACATGATGGATTGATAACATGGTTAGTCTCCGAATCTAAACCTAGACCGCTGACCAGATTAATGTATAGCACCGCGGGCGCTGACGGATACTCGAGTACTTGACGAGTTAATTGTTCATAGGCTTCGGCCTTTCCTCTCAAGTTATAATTAATAGATGTTTCGATCAAGACTATATCGATCTTTTTGTCTTTTGGTATAAACGTTCTGTAGCAAAAGGCGAAGAAATAGCTTCCTGTTCCCCCGATCGTCACTTGGTATTCTTTTACAAACGCCTTCGTGACTTTACCAAAAGTATTGTTCCACCAGTTTGAGAACACTTTGAAGTACAACCCGTCCAAACTTTTTTCGTCCACTCCTAAGTTTCCTCCAGCGCTATTCGAACCTCCAATGACCAGTAAATTGATTTGTTGGCCTTCCAATGCTTTTATAAGAACCTTCTTTAACCTGCCTTCATCGCCCGGTTGAATGGCTTTCGACATTAACTCACCGTTTAGCTTCAAGTCGCTCATTTGACGCCACTTGGATTTGTATTCCCACTGCTTAAATGGGTCCTCTTCTAACTCAGCCTTTAATTCCTCTTCTACACTCGCTGAAATGATATCTTTTGCAAAGGTCGCATTGAACTCTCCATTTAACTGTACGGGCGGATTCGGAAACGACTTTGGAAGGTCATTAACCGCCAGGTCGCCCATTGGATTTACTCCTTTAACTGCACAGCATTCCCTTAGCGTCACCAAAGCTATGAGCGACAAAAACTTATAGAATGTAGACGAATTCATTGTTTTGATAACTCTATAAATTGCTGTTTTGTCTTTTTGTGTGGAAAATTTATGGAGGCTTCCCATAAAGTATTAATCCCTTTGAATTGTCCACCAGTTTGAAGGCACAGGTACTGCTTGAAAATACAAACAGGCTTGCCTTTAATGGTTAAGAAGAGAAACAACACACGCTTTCTTCATACAATATGAATTTGTATCAAACCATAAGCGTAGCGAGAACTAGAATCTTTTGAGTTTGAAACCATCATGTCAGTTTTGAAGAGTCTGGAGACGTCAGTGGGCACAAGGTACGAGCCACTGTGAAGTGACCATTATATTATTGGAGTTCGTGTCAATTGAACGATCTGTTTGGAAGTGGATGATTATACATCAAGTGCCACAGTCTTAGGTATCAGTTCAGGAAACATCCTTCCCTTCTATAGCTACTGGCTCGGTGAGGGTTAAATGAAGACATACTTTACGGGTGAATGTCGTAGGTGCCGACCGAGTCACACTCACCTGTTCTTGAACCAAAATTCCTTTCTTCGCTTGATGCACTTTAGTGGTTTGAAAGTTAAGTACTTCAAGTATAGTACATCAACTGCAACAAAAGTAAATTTCGTTGAACAATTCATAGGTGATATAGGACTCATTCTTTTTTGGCATGACCCACGAAGTATATTTCTTTGAATGCGTTTTCGACAAAAAGAAAGCTTTTTCTGCAATTACCCGCCAGAACCCGCCGAACCGTTGTCGATAATGCCTTTATTTAGAAGAGCTCGTCGAATAGAACTTGGCCTTTTCTTTGCTATCAATTGAGGACAATAACTTCATAATCCTAATGAAGAGTTTATTTGGGTGTGAAGGGTATATTACATTTTTGATAGCCTCAAGTTTGGTAACCTCAGACTTCCCTCATTTCAGGGTTTTTTAAAAAGTGAACTCGTGCTTTTGACCTGCTGGAGACTGAGTTTTTTTGCAAATATTTTCCTGTTTATTGCAATGATCTGTAATCCCTTCAGTACTCTCAATTTCTGTTTGGGATTGTGCGTGTGGGATTCTGAAACCTTTTCTCATGGCGGAGATGACTCTAATGGACCTTTTCGGCGATGCGGCGGCCATTTTGAATTTTATTGTTTCAAATAGCTATTGTGGGATGCTTAGGGGGCATATACTTACTAATTTTCCACCAGAGCATCCCATAATAGCTATTTGAAACAATAGAATTCAAAATGCCTGTCGTATGGCCGAAAAAGTCCCTTCTAAACGGTGAACCTACCTTTCGACCTTTTTAAGATACATGTAAAAGGTTAATTCAATTCCGTTCAGATTAACGGAGCTCATACAATATCCACCTTCTTCACTAATAAGCCGTTCAGATAAACGGAACTCATACAATATCCACCTTCTTCACTAGTAAGTTTTGCAGCGGAATTAGTTTAGAAACAAAGTTTCCGCAAGGCCTGTCCGAGAGTTGAATCCGGGACCTCTTGCCTCGCACCCTAAGCGAGAATCATGACACTAGACCAAGTGGCCGCAGCTGAAAAAGCCTTATTCGATATAGCCCAGAATCGAGTATCCCTCTGGTTAGCCAATGGTTCCCACCTTGTATGTGTTGTCTTGTTGCCAAAACAGTGGCTAACCAACCCCACTGCGTACAGTCACATCAGCAGTACAGTCACATCAACATTAGGTGAACTTTGATGGAATTTCCGTGTCTTTTTTTCAACTTCCGAGAAAGCAAAACTCCTCACACATGTTTTCTACAAAAACTTTCGGAGAGGTCTCCGTGGTGCAATCGGTTAACGCGTTCGGCTGTTAACCGAAAGGTGGGTGGTTCAAGCCCACCCAGGGACGCTCCGTTTTATCATCAAAATTTTCTTTCTTACTTTTATGAATACACACAAGAAGATAAATATGTGTAACGTAGACGATCTCAAATTGCCACCTTTGTTTTAACTGAATTTTAATCTTGTTTGACTTAGCGTTATAGATCTGATGAATTCTTCTTCTGAAACGTTTCTCATTTGCACGCTTTTATCGAGTTTCTATAAACCATAGACTGGATCATACCTCCTTAGTTGTAAGCACATTATCTGGTAATATACTCTCCCAATAGCGTAAGACTATGTGAAGTTGGGTGGAACGCTAAAGCCGAGTAATGGCCCTACAATAGCCAAAACAAAATGGTTCACGGCCCCTTCCAACACTGATTACTCCCGTGAATGGAAAGCTATCGCGTATTGAATCCCGATAATAATATTCCCCTTTCCTAGAGCCCCCTTTCCCACCTATTAGAGTTGGAACGTGGCCTACCATATCACGCCCCCATATCAGACCCCAACATACAATATGAGACCCCGACCAACCATATCAGACCCCAACGTACCATATCAGACCTCGATCATATCAGTCTGGTTTGACTGTTTTATGTGTCGGGTTTAACTGTTTTATGTTAACTGTTGTCCCAAGTAATACAGCAATTCTTCAGTAGTGTATTGAAATTATTATGACATATGGCTATTACGAATAACCACCTAAGCCAGCAGGACTTTGGCCGCAAGGAAAAGGTTGCTCTGGAGAAGCATGATTTGGATGGTCAATGTTTCCTTTCCGACATTAACAAATTTCATTATAGGAAATTTAAAGCAAAAGTGAGATTCTGACTGGAAGGGCATGCACACACATGCTTCGTTACGGAGACTTCATGGATATGTTCACCGAGAGGCCTTTTTTAAACTTCCTGAAGGTCTTTAGCTGTTGTGATTAAACAAGGGGTGGCTCTGACGATGGGAATGCCAGTTAATAAGAAAAATAATACAGGACAATGGTAAAGAACTAAGGAAGTGGAAGGAAAAAAAGGAAATGGCTGACCAGCCTGTTTCCGGCCGGGTTTGAACCGGCGACCTTCCGCGTGTCAGGCGGACGTGATAACCACTACACTACGGAAACCGCTGAAGCTTATTCTACTCACAGATGAACAGCATTCGGATGTCGCTAAAATTTTGACTGACTGACTGACTGACTGACTGACGGAAACTAAAAAATGAAAAAGAGAAGAAATGGGGAAAAGAATGACAAACCGTACGCGTTTTCCAGTTTATCGGGCAAGAGCCGAGCTTCAACCTCGTAGTTTTAGTACTCTTGGAGCTACGGATGGACCGTGGAACTAGTGTGAATGCATGCCCGATATGGAGACGACTGACTGACGGAAAACGAAAAAAAAAACAACAACAGAAAAAAAGAAACGAAAAAAGGAAAACAATTACAAACCGTTTTCCAGTTTGCCGGGCAGGAGCCGAGCTTCGTCCTCGTAGTTTTAGTACTCTTGGAACTACGGATAGGCCGTGACAGTGTGAATGCATGCCCGGTATGATGAGAGTTAACGGAAACTCGTTATAATTCAAACATAAAAGAAAATTGTGAAGTACTAATAGCAAATATAAGCCTCTTGCATTTAAAAATAAAACAAATTAAATGTTGGTAAAATTGGCAACTAAAACCAGATATCAGGGTTGAAAAGAAGAGGCACCGATGGGATTTGAACCCCTGACCTCCTGTTTACTAGACAGGCGCTCTAAGCAAGTGAACTACAGAGCCCCCTTGAGTATACGGAGCCCCCTTGAGGATACAAGACAGTACACCTCTTTTTCCTAGCCAAAGATAATGTGTTAAACCTGAGTATAATAGGATATTGTAAGCTAATTCATAATAATTTTCATCATCAGAAACGTTTCTCGTTTAGACTTCTCTGAATCCTTTTTTGTTTTCGATAACTTAGACAAAGCATTACCTGTTTTATGCAGGATACTTTTACAGTATTTTAGCCTAAATTTGGCAAAGCTGGTCGTCACGGACTGCGTAATAACTTCTTTGGGAGGTTGCGTCACTCAGAAAAATATTAACTCGCTTGGGATACAGAAAGTAAGACCATAGCCCATCTCGCCATTAACACACTGATTAAAACACCATGACTCTTTCTTTTGCTCCCATCCTTTATGTACTGTAACCTTTCTCTTAATAAGGACGGAATTCTTAAGAGCAAAGTTAGTTTCAAAACCAGCAAACCTCCATATATACTTTTGTCTCAACATGGCATGTTGTCGACTTTTTTTTTTTTTATCTAAATCCTCCGTAGTATAGTGGTGAGTATCTCCGCCTGTCATGGTTGTGAGAAAATAAAGAAGTTAGTGAAAACAGAAAAAAAATATATAACAAAGTTTGTTTCCGGCCGGGCTTGAATCGGCGACCTTCCGCGTGTTAGGCGGAAGTGATAACCACTACACTACGGAAACCATGTTAGGCAATTAGCTGCATGCTACCAAGTAGGTCATCCAATAGCTTTGCATTTTTATCACATTATGTGTATCGTGGAAATGGACAAGTAGAAGAATGCAGTTAATTTTGCAGGAGTTTCGACCAGGTAGGAGTTTCGACCAAGTACAGTTTACGATCAAGCAGAGATTTGCTCCTTCAACAATCAAGATGCAGAAAGTCGTCAGTTGATACATCTTTTTGCAGCAGCTGCACCCTCATTATGGAATAAACTACCACTAAATATTAGAAGAACAGAGAATTTTATATCTTTTGAATCTCTTTTGAAACCATATTTGTTGAAAGAGGCTTATCATTAATTACATATTTTATGATATTGCGACAATGTTCATAATTATGATATGTGAAGACTATCTTCTAGGTTATTTATTTTATTCTTTTGTTCCTCTAATTTATTTCATCATGGATTGCGATGCATTTTACTTTTTATTTCGATCTAAATATGAGTAGAATTTGGAATTGTGATTTTTATTTTATTTTATTTTTTTATTCGTGAATAGTTTTATAAATGATTTTGTAAAGCGCATGTGTTCATATCCACATGTTAATATGCGCTATAAAAGTGCCATTATTATTATTATTGTTGTTATTATTATTACTATTATTATTATTATTATTATTATTATATCATGGGTGACAAATTACTCCTTAATTTTGGCGCGAAATTTCAGCGTTAATTCATAATTTCACATGTGAAATTACAAAACTGCTATGGCAACATCTCTTGTATCTCGATCTGTGCCAAGATGGCGTCGAGATTTAAGACGGTGACCACTGAAGAAGTTACGGAATTAAAAGAAGCGGCAGAAAACTTAAATACGCGAAAGAGCACAAATAACTGAATGAGGGGTTTCGAGAAGTGGTGTGACGAAAATAGCCTTGAGAGATACCTGGAGATGATTCTTCCTGAGCAGTTGGATGAAGTTCTCGAGCGGTCTTACGCCAAACAAACAAAGAAACAAAGAAACAAACGAATAAACGAACAAACAAAAACACATTTTTAAAGACGAAAAAATGCCATAAGCAATAAGCGAAGCTTCTTTAACTAAAAATAATGGTATTGTCAGTAAACTTTCACAAATGTCTATTTTACAGTCCTCCTACTGACAGCTGAAAACTGTTTATTGACGCAGTAACATGTAATGTTGACAGTTATAAGCCAACCTTTCTGACACATGAGCAAACTTTTGCAGCATCTACCTCACCCCTGCGTGACGTGTGTATTTTTCTTCAAACTGAAGCTACTCATTTTTAGGCGATGATGACAACTGTGAATGAAGTCAACAACAATAAAACAAAGATACCGGATGAATTTATTTTTCGTGGTGTTTCGCTCGTTTGTTTTACTGCCGAACTCAATGAGTAAACTGGTTGACAATCGATGTATATGTAAGCTTATTATTAAAACTACGACTGCATACGCGCATGCGTATGCACACGAACAATTGCGTCTGTGTTTTTATGTTTTAGTCAGTTATTTTGTAGTCTGAAAAATTATACTAAAACAATTATTCGCGTCAGGCTCAGTGAAAATTGGTGAATATTCACCCCGACTTCGTCTCGGTGAATATTCAGCAACGTTCGCTTCGACTTTGGCGAATAATTGTTAACTATTTGACCTTCCCAAGGTGAGGGTAGGCCAAGTTTGGCCC